CCCCCCTGCTTGTTCAAACCAGGAAAAGAAGCACTGTCAAAATCTTCCTATTAACTTCACACCTTGATCTCAATCATTATTGATAGGAATGGAGATATACGCCGATCAAAAAAAATAAACGAATATAATAATTATGTATTTCGGACTTGTCCCCAAACTTACTTTCACTTTCGATGACACCGACAGTGACAGTGACAGTCGATTACCCGAACAGCTTACGGGTGAAACTGATAGAAGGGCAACAATAAATGTAGCTTTTATTCAGTATGAAATAAAATATGTTTTACCTCTCAACTAAATCACTTTTTCTGCCATGAGTAGTAGCACTCCGTTTCCTCAATTCAGTCTTCAGCTTCTGTACCGACCATTTCCGAAAACACTCGTCCGCCATCTTGGCATCGGAAGTAACCCCCTAGTACACGCGCGCCCCCTGGTGAGTAGTGTCGCGGCGGGAACCATTTGTATTTAATCTGCATTAATTGTTTCCATCTTTACAGCATTCCTACAACGGAACAAACCACACGCGGGACCAGACCAATTGTAAAGTGTGTCTAGGTCTTGGAGAGCTTCGGTATAATATGTTATTCTCCGTAAGCAGATGGACGTAAGTAGGTGATCTAACACTTGATGGAATATATTATAACTCACGAGGTCAGTTGACCGCTATTTTTTAAGGTTACTGATCTGCTTGTGACAACACTGACTTTGCTCTATAAACATATCTTCCTATAGGGAACGCAATAATATTAATTAACTTGTAAGTCACTCTTTTCCAAGCTTTCGGGCTCAGCCCTTCGTCAGGGAGTAAATGTCACTGGACCTCTATGTAACATCCAACTTGACAAACATGTTGAGTAACTATGACGTTGATGTTGATGACCCAACTCAATTCAACACCCCATGAAATCGGCAAACACAAGCCTCGTTACATAATGTATGGTCTATAACACGCATTGTCATTGCTAACAAATTCACATTGATTCCTACCGAAGTTCTTTTATTTTGACATCCGTAGCAACGTGTGTTAAAGTACCCAAACACCACTTTACTAAATGTAGTCAACATGTGGCAACATATCGATGACATCTTAAAGTGTACCCTGAATAATTTGCTACATAAAACTATCAAAATACTTCATATTATACAATACAATGCTTAAAAAGTACGGCCTTCGTTTTCGAGATATTGATATTTTTCTGAAAAACTCAGTTAGACCAAATATGTGACGTCACGAATTCAACGGTTTTAAAACAGCTTTTTCGGAATCTACAGGAAAAGTTCGACCGTGCGATGAGTTCCATTCGAGGAGGCAAACGATGTGATGTATACGACTGTCCGAACACACATGTCGATAGAGGTTCCTTACATGCATGTACACGGTTGTATATTTATACATATATGTATTATAACAGCAGTAAATTAATCCATGAAAAGGCACAATACAAACAGAAAACATCTTACCATCATGTTATTAGCACTTTTTTTCATTAAAGAGGTTCTGAGGTTTTGTACCCCCATTAATACAAACGTGTAACATTGTGAATGAGTATGTACTTTTTTTGAAATAAGCTGTCTCGTCTCGTTGCATTAAATATAGAGGTATGGGTCAGGTATATTTTCCCTTTTTTATTTTCTATGAAATCGAGTGAATTTATGATGATAATAAAACCTCTTTCATTTATAATAAATTATAAACGTACACACCAATTTCAAGAATCTTGAAGAAGAAGAAACTGTTTATTTCACTCATCTGACGAATCAGAGTGTTCACGTCTCACTAATACGAGTAATTTATCGTTGGACCACCTGTTCAAATTTAAAATCTGCAAAATGCAGGCCAGCAGTTTGCTTTCCCCTCTCGGTTGATGCAGTTGTATTGAATGTGGTTTTGTTGTTTGCATACATTTCAACACAATCTGTGACAGTGCTTACGCATTTTATTTATCCATAATAACCTTGAAATTGACACTTATTTGTTTCCCCGTTCTATGTAATAACACAAGGCACCCCTTGCCAACCTGCTGACATCCTTTTGCGTTTGGGCCTCCTGCTGTCAGCACTAGACACAGGTGTGTTTAGAGTAATTTACCTGTACACACATCCCACGCCTTAGTGCAGGCTACGAGAGTAGATCGAGATGATTATCATTATTTATCAAAGATTTAATAACTTATGTAAATTCTATTAAGAAAATAGTTTATTTTCAATCTCATAATTCAATTATATATTAAATAAAACTCAGCACTGTATATGAGTGTTGTATACAACTATTTGTCTGTATTATATTATTTATACGTCGACCTTACATAAGGAAGACACGATGTCGTCAATTTGTGATTACACGGCAGGTAAAAGTGAATATTTAAAACAAAATGCTATACATATTATTGTAGACACAAACGTTGGAATAATATTTTAAGCATTCTTTTTTTTTACTGATATATTTTCGTATTTTTGAACCGTAGCGGTTGCACATAATATTACTTTGCGATAGAAATAATCTGACGTTTCCATTTAAAAGTCAAATACAAATGTTGGTCAACAACATCGAAAGCAGTGTTGTTTATTTTACATTAAATTCGTTTATTCTGCAAATTGCCCATTAGTGCTCCGAAACTGGTCATTCAATGCTTCCAGTCTGTGTTACCCTCGTCAGATTCGTCAGTTTGGTTTCCATTCAACCCGCTGTCTGAAAGTTCTTGCACATTTGATATGGCTGGATGCCATCTACATCAAAGAAATATCAAAACTCATTTCATTCGCGACCTCGCCTGTTCCTACCATGGTGACTTTCACAGCCGTTGAACTTGTGACGTCACAGCCAAGAAGTGTCTCATTCACCGGAAGTTATGATTATGCCAATAAGTCTTAGACGGACAGGTAGAAATCGTACACTTTACACGTCCATATATCGGCTTTGGGTTAACAAATGTGTATGCGGGTTTCGACCTATTTGTTTATGAATCATATAAAATAACAGTAAACATGTATCATACATAATTTTGTATGTGGTAAACTTTAAATAACTTTGCTGTAAGCTGTGCTGAATACCATATTTGTGTATGCTAATTTAGTTTTTTAGAATAAGCTAAAGGCCTATGAAACGATTCATGTAGCACAACCAATAAGTGTTTATATGTTACTTTTCGATGACTAGTACGGTACGTACATACACTGTGGCCTTCATCAGACAAAATACCTAAAGGCCTTTGAAAGGTATACAAAAACAGACATATCAGCATTTAAAATTTCTTTAATTTTTATCTTAAGTTTAATATTATTCCAATGAACTAATTACGTTCATAAGATTACTGTGAAACCTTTTTTTTAATTTTGAGGTAAAATATCGAGCTATTTGTACAATAACGCTTTATGTAAACGATGTATTTTTCCTTCTTGCATCATACATATATATAAACATTCTCATACATAAATGTATTCATGTGAGGATTTTGAACGTCTATTGCTTACAGAAATATCGTTCTGAGTGTGCCATTAGGGTTCTTGGTCGACAGACTCGGGAATGGTCGTAAGTAAACATAAACTTCTATTTCTTTCATTTAGCATTTTATCAAGCCATGTTAACATTGTATGGTTGACATTGTTTGTCTATGATATGCATTCAAAAGCATAATGTGATCGCACTGACATGTTTGATTCCATTGTAACTACATACAATGACAGATGCTGGTACATATGTATTATGACGGCACCTGTCCAGCTGGCCACGCTCAGGCATCTCCTCAGTAAAACCGAGACATGGGAATACACATCCATGTTTCTCTGGCCAGTGTGACAACACATTGTGGCAGTGGTTCGATGTTTGATGATACATGTGTGACTGACTACGTTCATTTACTTATGATTATAGATGATATACAATTTCATGATATATGTCCTTAAGTCCATGCCATGTAACCACCCGCGGTGTAATTTATCGAAATTGCAAAAACACGCCCTTAAACTTTTTCTTGCTTCATCTAGGTTCTGCGATTTTGTACAGCAGTTTGACATTGCTTGGATCAGTCATGTTTACCGTAGGAACCATGTCACATGCACCTGTAACTTCCTCAATGTACATGTTGATGGTGACGGGATCTGGCCTTCTGGCATTTGGAGACGGACCTCTGCGTTGTATGTATACATGATTTGAGATAATAACAAATGTATCATCGTGTTACCTGAGATATCTACTGCTGTAACATTAGCTTTTTCGTATTCTTAAAGATCATAATATGGATTTTTTGAAAAAACAGAACAAAAATAACGACAAAAAACAGGCAAATACCGAAGAGTAATCAAACCTATAATGAATTAATCAAATACAAACGTAGGGATAATATGAACAAACAATAAGATTATTAAAAAGTACAATTAACAAGTAGTTCGAAAGATAAATCATATTCTGCTTCATCGACAAATATAGGTCAAATCAAAGTAATGTCACGTCATCACATCGAGAACACTGGTAGTTACCACATAGCCACACTAAAGAGCACTCTAATGAGTATAATCAAAAACATCGACTTTCATATCACCTATAGAAATATCATCTGTCCCTATGAGCAATTTTAGTTGTTCTTGCTGCATGTACATGTAACTGCCTTGCAACTATCGACCGTTTTATATCCTTGCACACATTGGTACTGTCATTAATTTTGTTGGGCTAGAAAGAACACCACTGCATTTTAATCGATCCACTTTCAGTACATTAGTAACACTGAACACAATATTGTAAATAATGCATGTTACATTTCCACAAACTATACCTCAATTCAGTTTATATTATTGACTCTTCTCACTTCTGCAGCAGGGTCACTTATCACTGGACGTGTCTACTATCTTGAAAAGTCCGCAAGGTAGTTAGGTTGTTGTTAAAATCACGAATAGTCTTAGATGGATTCTTCTTTTGTTATCGTTCTTTCTACAATAGCAGTTTGGTGACTTCTCTGCTACTGTGATTATTGCTGAAACACTGTTTATTCGCTCTTTGATTTACAATGCAGACAACATGTGTTAGATATACTGTGCAAGAAGGGAGCCACATTTCATATTTATTTACCACTCCACTATCACATATTGTTTGCATAGTTTGCGAGGCTCTTGCGCCCTTCGAGCTGTTGAATATGTTTGAACCATCATCCCTCTGTTCGGGCAATCTATATTGAGAAAGAGGTGTCCGCATCATGTTTAATAGTCTTCTGTCTTATCTTTTTTATCTTTCTGTTGCTCCTTTCTTCACCACATTTTGTCCCTGATCTTTTAATTTCCCAATGTTTCTTAGCACCATTTCCCTCTTGTTCGGCATTATCTGTTGTTCTATGATTCTGGTAATGCGCACATTTTCTGTAGACATTAACAGGATACTAACTTGTATTTATTTATTACACATTGCATTTTATAATACAATATAGTACCTTCAACAATTGCTACAGTAGTTATGTGACAATACTGTCGCAATTATATATGTACGTTAAATGCAATCTTATTACTTTTGTTTGTTGTATATTCAGTTGTGCAGGCCAGAGTTGTCGCCCATTGTTTTCCAGAATCCACATTAAGCGCCATGACAATCAGTGGATTTGGATACTGCGGACTGGCCATCAGCTATTACGTCACGCCTTACGTTGACACAGTTGCAGGACTAATACCGTCTGTATGGCTAGGTATGATATGATATAATTAAGTTGTATGCTCAATTCCATGGTTATATACGTTAACTACTGAACATGTTTAAATAACCGACCAACTTACAGCTGAGCGACAATTTAAGTTTCTAACGAAAACAAAAGAGAAGATACATCAAATATCTACAAGTGTAAAATCAGAAATCATCCAATTGATTGAAAAGCTAAAGCAATATACATTTTCTAATACTGGCCATCAATTAGAACGGGGCTTATATTGGTATTAACGATTAAAGTTATGTTTCCATTTGTGCTTTTCAGTTAAAAAAAGATGTCATACTCGTGAAATCGATATGATACTCAACTTGAACCTAAAAGTATGATCTTCATATGTGTCTATGTTCTATATTTGACATATTTTACAATATTTATGACAATGGAAGGGTTTCTTAACAACAATATACACATGGGAAACTCATCTATGACATAAATATAGAAACGTCAGGTTCAATCAGATGTCTCTTATTCAACCATTTCCCAGCTACTCATTGGGACATACATTGTACACATCATCATCGGCATACTATGATGCCATCACGGCACTTATTATATGTTATGTTATAACGTTCCTTATTCATTTTCTTTTTAATATAATCTCCTCTCCATTGTGCATTCGATTAGATTGCATGTTACCACGTTCACTGTTGTTTTTTCTCAGGCGTCGTAGCCTGTGGAATTGGAGTTATGTGTGCCGTTGGTTTAGCGTTTCTTCTTCCACTACATCCTAGGCTAGACGAGGATGATAAGGATAACAAAATGTTTGTAAGTGCATGTGGCATTTAACACCATGGGGTTAATTGTACTAATTTTGATATTTTTTACGGACACAATGTAATTGAGTTTCGTTCGTACTCCGTAAAATAAATATAATACAGCATTCGCATCAGTTTTTAATTTCTGCAACAAATTTCGTCAACTTTAATTTTTTTGCGCCGAGTTATAAACTATATCATCTACTTTAACGTTACTGAGATTGATAACAAAGATATTTTTAATCGTTAGTTTTAATTTATATACGGCATCGCTATTACAGCCTATGTTTTTATGTTACTTATTTTCTATTTTCTTCAAAAATAATTGTTTTCACGCGAAAAAGTATCAACTCAAAAACACACATACAATGTATATACATATTGATATCGGCAAGGACAATTTCCTGTTCTCTGTTTTTTACAATATGGTTTTATTATTCAATTATTTGTATTTCTGGAGGAGGAGGTGTTGGGGAAGGAGTTTGGGGGGGAGGAGAAGAAGGAGGAGGGGAGGAGGTTGGATAGAAGTGGGATATGTTGTTGTTCTATGTCTTTATATACATAAATTAAAGAATTCTTGTAATTTCCCTCCGAGCCTTCGATTTCGTCATGTCGTATTATCTGGGTGCTGGAAAGGGTTGTATACGCTTAGCGATACCTTTGTGTTTAGAAGATGTATCGTTATAAGCATTTTCTCTACACAGTGTTTACATGGGAGAGTTCTGATCAAATAATAACATAACACTATATTTTGTCATTTTTGTGCAAATGACAACAGATGACATGAATCAAGATATAATCAATGAAGGGAAAACATGTTCAGTTTGAATAAATGAAGTTTAATGAATTTCTCTTATCTACAATAATGTTTAATTTGAATACAAATTTGTAAACATCACGGGTTTCGTTCTAATCATCGCGCCAAATGCAATATGTTATATAATTTGTTTACAAAATAAATGAAATCATTTAGCATCAGGTAAAACATAATTGAAAATACAAAAGATTGTGTTTTCCAATCATTATTTCACCTGGATATCTGTTAGTTAGTTTCTGGCATTACTAAACAGATCTTTGAGACTAGGCAGGCAGGTGAATCCGATACGTCCAGCCCTCATCATTGAGAACAAGTAATCTAAACTTCTAAAACCTGAAACCGTTCATTTCTTCCATAGGAATATTAAAGCGCGTGTGGCTTCTATCTATTATGGATAAAGAAAGAGAAGAAAATATGTGTCCATGGCCCTGCAATTAGCTCAAGATATGTTACTCTACCGCAATTATATCTTTCTTCCTCTCAGCTCTACGTTTGTGGCCACATCGTGTACATTTATTATGATGCCAAAATGCAAATAAATTAAAAAATGCATTATTGCTGAGGGTTTTCTTTGCAGACGCTGAGAGACTTACGAGCGCTGCCGGGGTCGTACTGGCTGTATATCATAGCTATTGCGTTAAATGCTGCGTCCTGGATTCCTAAACAAGCCAATTTGCCGTAAGAAAACTATAAACCAATCTAATTCCTAAACAATCATAATCCTCATTTTATTTCATCAATAAGAAAGGATACCTATCAACACTGGTGCTTTAGAAGGTTTTCGGGCACGTTGTGGAATATTTTCCAAACAGCTTGCATGGAGGCCAAAACTTTGGCCAGATTGAAGAAGGATGTTTAAACCGATTTAGGTTCTTTAAATAGGCAGTCGTCATGTTCACATCACTCTATTCTATTTATATGCATATGGAGATAAACACATTGTTATATAATGCCTGACGCTGATTTGTATGCCTAGATTCTAACCATCACTTTAGAAATTGTGAAAATTAGTTTTATACATGTTGTGTTTTATAATTAATTAGTGTAGTCCGTCCTCTTTTAACACACACAGATAAAGATATTTTTGGAATCCAAAAACATGTGGTATCAAAAAATGCGAAAGATCTAAGCTATGAATTGGTAATTTTTTATGGTATCATTGCAGAGACTATTTGATGCTACGATATGGGTACACGATGATAGAGGCAAGTCATATAAACGGTTTATCTCCAATCATGTTGCTACCGGGTATTCTTGCATGTTTCCTATTGGTAAGTATTACACTTTTTATTTTTACAATGACTCTTTTCATACACTGAAAATTAAAAGTTTTTTGCACAGTGCATGTGCTCGTTAAGGTTTCCAAAGCTATTTTTGTAATTTCCGTTATATTCCTTGACAAAATACATAGATGTCGTAAGAGACCGACACCATTTATTCTGAACAGAAAATATTACGGTAAGGTACCATGTGTAGCACAAAATACTTGCTAACGTCGAGGTTTTGTCGAGTTTTTGGTTGGGTCATGACATTATACCTTTACATTATCTGCCATGTTTCTGTTTCTTGTGTTAGCCATTGATATCATCTAATATTCCCTTTTGCTGATGCTATTATATACTGTTTGTAAACGTAGACATCTTTCATTTTATTGATATTCGTGGCTCTACTGTAATACAAGAATCGTGAATATTAAAAGTACAAAACTGAAAGTTATCCTCCCCCTTTGGAATACACTGTTACTTTGTAATAGTACTTTCAGGAGGTTCACTCATATTTTTCAATAAGGCTTCTTTCGTTTACGTAGAAATATTCATAGTAAGATATTATTTATATATGTTTTCCAAAATTGATTTATTACCGATTCACGTCTTAGATATATATGTTGATAAATCCAGTTCCTGCATATATTTGATTGCAGAAAATGGTCGACTGTGACGGGATAATGATCACATTTTTTATGGCATGGATTGTGCCGCTTTATGCCTTAATGGGATTTTATAAAGACGTAAACGTTATCATCGTAAACCTGGTAGACGGGATTGGCATCGGTATAAGTTCAGTAAGTTCGTGTTGGTAGTTATACGGTTATGTTCTGTGAACCTGTGCCACGCCCTCTGCGTATTTTTTTAACTGTGGTATATGTTGTAGCAGCTACTAGTATCGTCGTTGCAGTGTTCCCTGTTGGAACTTGAGCTGGCAGTAATAGTTCATGCATAAGGGGCAGAATGGGTAGATAGGCTACCCGTCCCCCTGACTGCCTGCAGTATTAGAGTGCAATTGGGCGAAATGTCTCTATCATTTTTGACAGCTGACTTTACTTGATTCGGCCCACTGTGGCTTTGTGAGTTGTTTTCAGCGGTTTAGAGTCGAGACATCGGCCATTTGCACTCTTTGCTTGACAAAGGAAACAGTCGTTGTCAAAAGCTCGCCAAATCAGTGTTAAGTTCATGTTTGTGTTCAAAACATACTTTCTTTGATAGTAAATGTAGTTATAATTTTCAAATACAGATAAGCTACTCCATTCATTGTCTTGCAGTTAAACAGGAATCGGCATAATGATTTGTATAAAAAAAATATATATATACATAAGAAGGGATGAAATACAGGAGTAAGCTGATATGCTGTCTCTTTCGATTAATGAAGCCTGTCGTATGGCAATATTATAAATTACATTAATATCAAAACCAGAGTGGTTACCAGTGAATATTTTAACTTTGTCATATATTGCCAATGTTTTATCGATTTTATGTTCCAGCTACAGTTTTGCTGATATTTTAAAGTTTTCCATTCTTGTTAATTTTACTTGATATTTCATTTTGAAAAATAATCAATTATCATTCCTGTGATTGAGAGGCATTAACCGAATGTGTTAGACATTCAGAACCTCCCGTCGGTGGAAAATACACTTTAACTATTTAAGGACTAGCGAATTTATTTCATTATGTTTGTAGATAATGATGTGGCAGATCCTCATGCTCATGTGTCCCGCAAAATATGTAGGAAGTCTTGCTGGGTTGATGTTTTTACTGAGAAATTTAAACGTAGCGGTAATCTTCCTTGCCTCGGGATATATACTTCAAAGACATAACGTGTAAGTATCACTCGAACGTTTATGTCAATCGTTTCGTTCAATACGTCAAAAAAACTAAACACCAGTTTTGCCTTAGAAGTGTACTTATTGATGTATTATGAGCATTTTGCAGAATACTTAATCTTTCATATCATTTTGAAAGAGTAAAGGAGAAAGCAACATTAACATGAAAATGTCATTTAAAAAAATACAATCCAATGTGCTACAACCATGTACCAATGTCCCATTGTTAATATGTATATACACAGGGAGAGCGTAGAAGATGCATTGTGCTATTACCAACACTTCTTCCTGATGTTGATAATAATGGCATCCATGTCGGTTGTCTGCGGAGTAGTGATGAATGTCCTGGATATCCGAAAGGTAAACTTTAACTTCCGGACGATAGGACATAGATACATAAACACGGTTAGAGAGATTTAGATTCCATGGAGTAGGAATATAACTAACTAGTATTTGAAATCATATGAAGCCAAATCCTGCACACATTTTCAAGAATAGTCCAATCTATGAAGCATTGAAATTTTCTTTGATTTTTCGGATGCTTGGTTAATTCATATTTAAATCTGTTCAGTGTTAGATTCAATGACGAAGAACAGATTAAAGGATCATTATTAGGGCCAATAAAGCCGTCCGTTACTGTTATTATCTTTTAAGTCAGTTCTACATGTATTTGTATTCTGTTTCAGGCCTGCGCTTTAAACTCCAGGCTAGCCAGATGGAGAAAGTCCAATATGGAAACCATGGGCCTAATGTCGATGACTGAACCGTCCAGTCAGTACTGTGGTACTGATCGAGTAAACAACAACACAGTGAGCGAAGACTGAACCGTCCAATCAGTACTGTGGTGCTGATGGAGTAAACAATAACACAATGAGCGAAGACTGAACCTTCCAGTCAGTACTGTGGTACTGATGGAGTAAACAACAACACAGTGAGCGATGACTGAACCTTTCAGTCAGTACTGTGGTACTGATGTAGTAAACAACAACACAGTGAGCGATGAATGAACCGTTTAGTCAGTACTGTGGTACTGATGGAGTAAACAACAATGACCCGTCAGTAAAATTAACAACTTGTAAAAAAGATTAACTGAGGGAGATTAAAACATTGTTACATTATCACTTTAAAGTTGTTTGTCATGTTGTCAGATATATTTAAAAGAAAGTCAAATATGAACCCTTTACAATATTAATGTTCATGTAATATTATAATAATGTAGTGGGTTTTCATATTGCCTATGAACTGCATCTGAATTCAATGTAAAGCTTAGATGAAACCCAAACACATTGTCTGTTTTTCTTAACTCCATTGTCCAAACAACCCTTATTGATCTGCATATAAGATCATGTTGATTATTACATTGTACAGATACCGCCTCCAAAAGTAACTAGGATTGCTAGCTACCGAAAAAAGCATTAACTAAATGAATATGTACATTGTCAATATGTTTAGAAAAGAAATGTTAACTATTCATGTTTCTGTACAACAATTATTCTTTTCTTATTTTTTTTCAAACGGAACATTTGTTATTCTGTAAACTACCATAGCTCTTACTAAACCGAAAGTCTAGTTATCCTATTATGAGAGCAGTTTTCTGCAAAGGAATGCGATTTGCGTTACAATGGTTAATAATTTGGAGTATGATGCTGAAGACGAAATCGTAACAAATGTTTGGTTGGCAGTTGTTCAATTTAATGGTAATATCTTTTCAGCAGACTGTAACAGCTTATCCATGGGAACAAATGTTATAACCCATTTGGTTTTATTATTTTTGTTTATTTGTTTCAATATAAACTTTGTTCATTTAACAACAATTATGAAACAAATTCTTTCAACTTTGCCATTTAAAGTCCGATATGGGAATCAAACCCCAGTTACATTGGTGAAAGGCGAGTAAGTCATGCACTGTGCCACCCAACTACCCTATTTCTTTGATTGAATATATGATGCTTAATTTTTTGGGATCCCAAGAAATTCATTTATTACGTCGATCGTTAATATGTACAGTTGTTGGATCGCAAAACGTTACACGATGTGCGGTGTGAGCACGATGTGCGCACGATGTGTGCACGATGTGCTAACGATAAAAAATTGGACGATCATTGCTTGCGCACATTTTTGTGCATGATGGACGAATGGATACATGTGAAATTACAACACAGTCCCGTATACAGGTAAACATAGCTACTTTGTACATGTACCTGGGCCGTATTTTTTTCCCGCCCGGGGTGCTTACGTATTTCGTCGGGTAGGCCCAGGGGTGTGAAAACCCAGGTGAAGGGAAGCTATAGGCAAACCGAATGCTAATAACAAATACTTAACGTCCAGTGGTGTTTCATTACGGTCATTCGATATCGCATATCAGTTATATGTGTCAGGTACAGGCCAAGATAAACTCCGGACACTCATCAAATTGTTATTTACCAGTTTTGTTACCTTGGAACCAAACGCATTCAAGGGCCAATGGAATGCTGTGCTACACGCATTGTAAAACTGTACATAAGTTTCATAACTGTGATGAGAAATTACAGTAATACATACAGTTTTCATTATTGCATACGAGGTTTCCGTATTTTTTTTCATTCCGTAATATTGATCTACAAATTGTACTCAATCGCACAGTTGTGCGGAGAGAAGCGCACAACGGGGCGAACGATTGTTAAATCGCATAGTTGTGCGCACCATGTGTGGACGGTGTGCGGACGGTGTGTGAATGATGTATGCACGGTGTGCGCACGCTATTTTTTGGTGCGTTGTGCGGTCACGCAACTGTATTACTATGATCTTAAATTCATGGACACAAGAATCCCTTTTATAACAGCTACTTAATACGATGTTTACCTAAAACCAAGATTGCTTACTTATAACCAGTATTTTAAGCCATTCAATTTCGACTTTCTCATTGAGAACTTCCTCTTTATTGAATGTACATTGTAGCTTGTGTTGATAACATGACGGAGGCATTTGATTCGATGTATATGAAATTGCTCCAATTTCACGATTTTTGTAACAGATTTTAAATACTGACGGCCAATAGGGTTTCTCGGCGTTCTTGAGGTCATAAATGTGTCATTTTGTTTCGTTCACACTACCCCAGTTCGTTCTCTGAGAACGTCATACCTTGACATGTATGTGTATAAATATATATAGGGCAAAGTAGCTATTCCAACAGTGTGGACAAGTTGAGGTTGTCAAATTTTCGGAGCGATCCGCTCCTTTATATAGACACAGTGAAACAGAACAGTTACATGTCCATATACATCATATTAAAAGAAGATAATACTGACATATTATAATTGAAAATAAAGCTATTATATAAAACCAATAGTCCCCTTGGCTAAACACAGCCGAAGGCAGCAATTAAGATGAGGAACGCTGATGTAGAGGACCTATTCTTGCGCAAGATGCACTATCACATCAATATATATATATATGGTCGCTTAGGTTAATGAAGTTGAATAATAACCTGACTCTGACCGACATGCCTTGATTTGTAGCAAAACACCTTCGGACGAGTGTTGTTTTATATATCACTGATTTAAAATGTACTTATTGTTCAAGCGTCACATTTTTTCAATAAGGTAGTTTTGATTTTATGATCTTTGACCTTTTTTCAATCTGATTGTAATTTATGCACGGATATCCATACTGTGATAAATCACATTGTTTCAAATGGATGCGTTCATTTTCAAGTATCAGTGATTTAAATATGTTGAATATGTATAACGTTTTTAGTTCACCTGACCCAAAGTGCCAAGTGAGCTGATGCCGTGGTGCGGCGTCCGTCATCCGTCGTCCGTTGTCCATCGTTCGGCGTCAATATTTTAGTTACATGTAAACAACTTCTTCTTAATAACAAAAAGGCCTAGGGTGATGATATTTGACCAGAAGCAAACTGGTATAACGGGCTACCAAGTTTGTTCAAATATATGACCTTCACCCATTTTCAAGGCCACATGGATCAACTATGTTAAAAACTATAAAAAAAGTTCTTCTGAATAACCAAAACGCCCAGGTTGATGATATTTAGCCAGTAGGTTGCTTAGTTGTAAGGGCTACCAAGTTTGTTCAAATGAATGACCTTCACTGATATTCAAGGTCGCAGGGGTCAATTGTCTTATACAACCTTTAAACGACTGTTAAATAACAAAAAGGAACAGTATGGTGATATTTGTTCAGAAGAAACGTCCTTTATATTTTATTTCAAGCCTTTTTATGATTTTATAGAGCAACCATTCAATCGCTATGCGAAAATTGGTTAATAAACATAAAGATGCATGCATCCCTATCTGATTTAGATAGCCAGTAGCTTGCTTAGTTGTAAGGGCTACCAAGTTTGTTCAAATGAACGACCTTCACTGATATTCAAGGTCGCAGGGGTCAATTGTCTAATACAACCTTTAAACGACTATTTCTGAATAACAAAAAGGACCAGAATGGTGATATTTGTTCAGAAGAAACGTCCTTTATATTTCATTTCAAGCCTTTTTATTATTTTATAGAGCAACCATTCAATCGCTATGCGAATATTGGTTAATAAACATAAAGATGCATGCATCCCTATCTGATTTACTTTTCATATAAATGCAAGCAAGCTGACAAATCCGACGCCTTTTTCCTTCTTGTTGTTTTAGAGAATAATAAATTATTTTAATAATAGGTTATTTTAAACACACACAGATGTTTTTCGAAATAAGATTATATCGTATACCACTAGCCGTCAAATGTATGATGTGTTACATCACATTGACATACATGATCATCCACATGGTGTATATAGTAATATCTACATTTGCATGGCATTGTCACTATATACACGTGTAGCCTCTTTGAAAGCTGTGTCGTTGATGGGACTTTAATTACCATGCATCATGAGACACAATTCTTAGCGTATTAATACAACACTGACCGGAACTACAATATCCAATATAAATAAACATGACGGCTGCTGAAATATCGCTGGGCATTTTGAGATTTGACAATGTCATTGTAAATTTATGTGCAGAATAAGAAAATAAAATAAAAAACACTTTTATTACAACGAAAACAAGACCAAGGTCTGCAATATCGTACAAAATGCACATCGGTTGAAATCACCAATGCCGGCAATGGAAACAATTTTAACGCTCATGCCTTTTATCAGAAATATCGTCTATTACACTGCACTGATCAACAGGGGTTCGTAACAAATGTCTGAAATACACATATTCTATAGACCTACTGACACATATGTTACAGACCTACTGATATGAGCCACAGCACACATACACATTTCAGACATTTGTAACGAACCTGTGCTCCGTCGCAAGATCACTCACTTCAATCGCTATCGGTTTCACGCGTCTCGCATCCACGTGCACGGTTCCGCAGTTTCTGACGACATGTCAAATAACGAGGCTGTTATTGAATCTACCGACTGTTGTCAGGTTTCCATACAATCAACAAATAAAATCACCCCTGGATTCTTCACAAAATGAGCAAAGAGAAAAGTTCGAATTCACTTCCAAAAATAACTCCCTCGTTGACGGCAATGTCGGATTTACGGTGTTCACTGTATTTGTCCATGCATGAAATTTGTTTCGGGGAAAAATCGAAACAATCTTCAATCTAACTTTCAGCTCAGAGTTCTATTGATAAACTTAAATCACCCTACAGACATATCAAACGCAATTGTATTGATACTGAATTGTGGAATAAAATAGAAGTGTTTTTTAAAATTTCAAAGTACAACTTTGTTTGCCAATCAGCACGCGACAATTCGCTGTTCAAACTATTGAACGAAATTGTGTGGACTGTCGATATGGCGGGCATTTTTTTTTTTAAATATAAATTATAAGTTAAAAAAGAACATAAGAGGCAGAGAAACCGTAAATATAAGTATTGAACTGTTCTTGTATGGTATTTATGATCTATTTGTATGACATAGCTTTGCATAGTGCGCATTATGTTGTTTGTTTGCAAAGCTGTGTCATTCAAATAGATCATAAATACCATACAAAAACAGTTCAATGCTTAAAAGGTAGACGTCATACTGTGTATCAGACAGGAGTTGTATGTGTATTTTAGAAGGTATAATGTCGGATGTGGATTG